TCAACTGAAGGTGTGATCAAGCCTGGAGCCATGTCTCCTGGCTGTCACCTTAGCTTGTTTTATTCCTGGGTCTCTTTTATCCCACTTGACTCATGACTTGCAATCTTCTAACCTCTCTGGGCTCCTTTAGGAATTCCAGGCGTGGAATCTCCTTCCCTACACTGGTAAAGGTTCACTCTTTGTCCCCTGCACTCCTGGAATTTACTGGGGTGGGGTTAGGTCCTCCATCATTCAACAAACATTTATTAACCACTTACCATGTGCCAATTGAAAGGCAGAGTGATAACAGGAGAGAGAGACACTCTCGGTGTCAGGGAGACCTGGGTTCAAGTTGTGTCTCTGACACAGGGGGCTATGTGATCTTGGGGCAAGTCAACTAGCCTCTTAGTGCCCTGGGCAACCCTCTATGATTATAAATGGCAGAGAAGGTTCTGACTGGTATTGGTGGAGGAAGTGCCTTGTGAGTAGCTATATATATATATGTATACCCACAGGTCTACTTTAAACACAAAAAGTGTCAGACCTTGTACCATGCACTGAGGGTAAAAAGGCAAAAATGAACCAGTCTCTGCCCTTAAAGAGTTTCCATTTTAATAGGGAGAAATATGCATAAAGTAAATGCCAGATATTTACAAGCTACTTGGGAGTGCATTGGTCAAGTAACAGCTAAATATGCTTAAATGCAGGCTGGCCACCCGCCTTTTAGAAAACTGAAAGGGGCTCAAGATATTTATCTTTTAATTCTTCAGGTTATTAGGAAGAATGAAGTAAGTAGTCCTTAAAAAGAAGAAAGGAAAGAAGGAAGAAAGAAAGGAGGGAAGAAAGGAAGGGAGGGAGGAAAGAAGGAAGGGAAGGAGAAAAGAAGGAAGGAAAGAAGGAGGGAAGGAAGGAAGGAAGGAAGGAAGGAAGGAAGGAAGGAAGGAAGGAAGGAAGGAAGGAAGGAAAAACAACAGAAGTGCTTCACTGCAAAAACAAAGAAAAGGGTCTGAAGAAGAAGAAGCAATCCTGACCTGTGTCAGGAGTCTGGAGGGAGGAAGGAAATAAGCATTTATTAAGCAGTCCCTGTACTAAGTGCAGAAGATACAAATAAGAAAAAGAAACAGTCCCAACCCTCAAAGCACTTACAATCTAATGTGGGAAGACAACACACAAAAGGAGGGGAGAAGAACACCAGGGAGCATCCTTGAAACCAAGGAGCTGGAGAACCAGAGGTTAGCTGGAAAGTCCTAAGCCCTGTATAAAAGAAGGTTTGGGAAAGAATTTACTGCTCTGCCCTCCAGCCCTCCAGCACTCCAATCAGAAGGAAGAGGTAACCAAGGGTGCCAGCAGCCAGTGAAAATGCTTACCTCAGCGTGTGTAGACACCCTAGATTGGTGAATGCTCATGCTTTGGTTTAAATCTCTCCTCAGACATTTAATTACTAGCTTATATGACCCTGGGTAAATCATGTAACCACCCTGAGCTGAAAAGAGCTTTAATTTTAGTTCTATTTAACAGAGATAATAACAATACCTGTAAGTACTAACCTCACAGAGATATAGCAATGGATGTAGCGAGTAAAAAGCCAGCCTTTGAACCAGGAAAACATGGGTTCAGGTCTTAACACATACTGGTTGTAAGACCCTGGGCAAGTTACTTAATCTCAGTGTCCAAGCTTAAGCTGCTGAGGTATCAACCTATATTGGTAGAAGGATGGGTCCCAGAAAAGCTAAGAGAGGCACCTGCCTGTCAAGTGACCTTTCTATCCAGTTCTATAGGTGGCCTGGAGCTGGCCTCCTCCCCACAAGCTAATAATAGCTAGCATTTATATAGTGCCTACTATGGGCCAGGCACTGTGCTAAGCACATTACGAATACTATCTCATTTGTTCCTATCCCAACCTTGGGAGGTAGGTACTACTACCATCCCCATTTTACCATTAAGAAAATGGAGGCAAACACAGTTCTGTGATGTCACTTACCCAAAGTTGCATAGCTACTAAGTGTCTGAGGCCGGATTTGCCCTGAGGTTTTCCTGACTCCAGGCCTAGTGCTAGCAGCTATTCCAGTTCAAGAATACAGCTGGTTAGGCCTGGGCAAGGGAAATGAGGGGCACTGATGAGGAATGGCCTCAGTGGTAGGCCTCAACATATTCACGATTTGGACCAGGAGCCAGCCTTGGCTAAATCAGGTCACCTCCAGCAAACAACCCAAAGGCAGCCAATCCCTGTTCTCCACAGTGCCACAACAGGACCATCCAGGAGGCTGGAGAAATACAGCCACCAGCCCAAAGGGGACTGAGGGTAGCAGAGAGGAGCACGGCCACCCCCTGCGTCTTCCCCCTCACACACTCTTGCACACAGACAGATCTGGGATTGCTAAGTGGCGTGAGAAGAGGGGGCAAAGACAGATGTTTTGGGTGCCCTCTTACCTACCCTCAATTCACAGCACTCCTGTATAGCAAGTTAGTATTTATTTAGCATAAGGTTTGCAAAGCACTTCACAAATATTATGTCATTTCATCCTTACGACAACCTGGTGGGGGGGGTAGATGCTATTATTATTATCCCCATTTTACAGATGAAGAAACTGAAGCAGAGAGAGTGACTTGCCCAGGGTCACACAGCTATTTAAGTATCTGAGACTGGATTTGGACTCAATGAAGATGAGTCTTCCTGACTCCAGGCCTGGCACTCTATCTACTATACTTCTCAGTGTCTTATCAGAGATGGAGTCCTGGACCAGGAGGACTGCAGAACAGGTATTTATTAAGCATCATCTGTGTTTAAGGCACCCTTAGGTAAGGAGGCAAAAATAGCCCTCATCTTCAAGGACTTCCATTTTCCTAGGCCAGTAGTTCTCGAAGGGTGGTCTGGGGATCCTTTCAGGGGACTGCAAGGTTGAAACCATTTTCATAATAATACTGACATTATTTTCCTATTAAAAAATTCCTGAGGGCAGCTAGGTAGCACATTGGATAGAGCACCAGCCCTGGAGTCAGGACCTGAGTTCAAATGTGGTCTTTGACCAGACACTTGACACTTACTAGCTGTGTGACCCTAGGCAAGTGACTTAATCCCAATTGCCTCGCAAAACAAACAAACAAACAAACAAAAAAACAAAAAACAAACCAAAAACCCCAACTCCTCTCTTATCCAACTACATATTTGTGTGAGGCTGAGTTTTCTTCATATACTTCAACCAAAACAACTTCTTGCAACGGACTGTATGCAGAAGAAGCTAGGAGAATCAGCTGTCTTCAAGGAAGACAGACATTAAAAAGATTTGTAAAAATATGTAAAACAATAACATTCTCCTCCCCCAATTTTTTTTTGTTTCTGAAATATAGTTATTTTCATTAACATGTTACTGTTATTTTAAAATGAAGAAAAAATATTTTAACTTAACCATTTTAACTTCTAATACAACCAGTATCAATAATTATATCCCACATAAACAAAAGCTTTCTGGTAGGTTTCCAATAATTTTTAAGAGTTTGAAAGGGTCCTAAGACCCAAAAGCTTGAGAACCAGTCTTAGGGGAGAGAGAGAACATAGGGACAGGTAAGTGACTGCAAAAATAATTTGAGGAGGGGAAAGAATGCTAACAATTAGGGGAAAAAAGGAAAAGTACATGACCTGAGCCTTGAAGGAAGCTAGGGACTCTAAGAAGGGGAGGGAGGGAAGGAGGAAATGTATCCCCAGTTTGTGGAAGAGACTGCATGGAGCTGAGATATGGAACACTGTATAAAGGGACCAGCAAGTTTAGATGGACTATAAGGTGGGGAAACAGTGGGGGAGGGGAGGGGCATAGGAATCAGTCTGGAGAGACAGTGTGGAGCTGAACTGTGAAGGTCTTTCAAGACCCATCAGAGCAGCTTCGTTTTATCTTAGAGACAACAGGGAGTCAGTGAAGATTCTTGAGGTGGGGAGAGACAAGGTAAGGCCTCTGCTTTATAAGATTATTTTAACAGTTCTCAGAGGACAGAGAGATGGGAGGCAAAGAGGCCAATGCATATCATAGAACAATAGAATCTTAAAAGTGGAAGGTCTTTGGAGATCTTTACATCTTTGCTGTGCTTCAAGTAGGAATCCCTCTACAGTGTCCCTGAGAAGCAGCCATGTAGTCTCTGCTTGAAGACTTCCAGTAATGGAGAACTTCTACTTTTTCTTTTTTTTTTATATGAGGCAATTGGGGTTAAGTGACTTGCCCAGGGTCACACAGCTAGTGATTGTTATGTGTCTGAGGCTGGATTTGAACTCAGGTCCTCCTGACTCCAGGGCCGATGCTCTATCTACTGTGCCACCTAGCTGCACCAAACTTCTACTTTTGAACAGCTCTAATTGTTAGGAATGTTTTTTCCCCACACGGAGCTGAGTCCTTCCTCCCTTCCATCTCCTCATACTGCTCTTGCTTCTGCCAAAAAGCCTAACCTCCTTTCATGACAGCCCTTCCAACACTTCCACAGAAACACAGAATGTCCAGAGTTGGAAGACACCTGAAGACATCTCTCACATCTTCCTTAGGTCTTCTCCAGGCTAAAAACTTCCCGCAAATTCCATTAGCTGATCTCATATGCTTATAGTCTTATTTTTACCTTACCTTTAAGACTCAGTTAAAATAGTACCTCCTTCCTGAAGCCTTCTTTGATCACCCAGGCAGAAATGCTCTTTCCTTCCTCAGAATTTGAATAGCACTCTGAGTGTATCTTTCTTGTGTGCTGACTATGCTCTATTTAGTATTATAACTTGTGTGTGTGTGTTGTTCCCTTACCAAACCTACCCCTCCCTCATACTGTGGATTCCATGAGGCCAGGGGCCATGTCTATTTATTTTTGTCGCCTTTCCTGTATCTGGCACAGGGCACTGCTGGATAAATATTTGTTGAATAAATGTTAATCTTTCATTAGGCAGCTCTGCAAGGGAAGTGACCATGACTAATCTTCACCACATCCCTCAAGTCCTTAGTATATTCCCCCTGAATAAGGAGAGACTGTCACCCTGTGCCTGAGACAGGCCTTACCATCATGGTTGGCGTTCCCCAGTGTCCACGGCTCATCAGAGTCAAAGTGAGTGTCTCCACCAATCCCGGGGCCTGGGAAGTAGGCATGGGCTAAGAATCCCCCTTCGCCATCAAAGGGGGAGCTGTCCCCATGGAAACCAGAGGCAAAGAAAATCATGATGTCTGCTTCCTTGCGGTCACTTTTAATCTCGTGGTAGGGAACTTCCTCAAACGTCAGTGGAGTGACCTTCTGCCAAACGTCAAAGGCCTGGCGGATGGCTTTCCGTGTGTCCAGCTCGCCTACTTTGGGGGTGTAGTTGTGAATGCTGGTGAGAAAGGAAAAGGTCAGTGAGGGGGATGTAGACCCTCCCAGGGCTAAGGATGAGGCCATGAGGATACAGCTCAATTGTCTCCAGGCTTGACCTCTCCTTCCTGCAGGCAGGCCCTTTCTCCTTCTTTCTCTCTGAATCCACTTCCTCCTCCCTTCTCTCAATGGTGTTAATCACATTAAACCCTCAGTATGTGAGTCGAACAGAAACATCCATCATTTCATTTGATCTTCAGGGGAGGGGAGGTACTGTAGAACTTTTTCTTTTTAGGCAATTGGGGTTAAGTGACTCACCCAGAGTCACACAGCTAGTAAGTGTCAAGTGTGTGCTTGGTCTGAGGACAGATCTGAACTCAGGTCCTCCTGACTTCAGGGCCGATGTTCTATCCACTGTGCCACCTAGCTGCCCCTTTATCATAGAACTTATTAGGAGGCATGCTGGGGTAGGGTGGAAGGTAGGCTGATCTTGGGGTCAGGAGATTCCCTGTTCAAAGACTGCTTAAGGGTGTTTGCTGGCTGAGTGACCATGGGCAAACCATTTCATCTCTAAACCTCAGTTTCCTAATCAATAAATCAGAGATAATAATATCTACTTCACAGGGCTGTTTTGAGGATCTACTAAGATGATGTCTAGAAACACTTGTTAAATCTCAGAATGCTAATATGAATGTGAGTTACCATTATTTACAGCAGACAAAAGCAGAGGCCCAGAGAACTCAGAAGACTTGCCCAAGCCCACATAGCAAGTCAGGGGGAGATTCGGGACTAGACCCCAAACCTCCTGACTCAGTTCCTAAGACTCTTGAAGGCTGTTCCACTCTGCCTCTTAAGGAACAGAAACCAAGTTTCTGCCATTTGGTCCCTTTTACGTTTCCATTCTGGGATAAGCTTGGTTAATTGTGGGCCCTGGTCACAGCTCCCAGAGATGTCCGGTCTGGACCTTGGCCCTGAGCTCTGGCAACTGGTTGGGGGAACCTAAGTTTATCCAGCTCCTGCTTCCAGTCTTAGAATCACATAATCTGAACTGGAAGAAACCTCTCCGATGTCATCAAATCCCACTGGTGCCTGAACAAAAATTCTTTCTTCAATATTCCAACAGGTGGGTAGCTAACCTCTCCTGGAAGACCTCCAGGGATGGAAGGTTCACCCCTGAAGCAGCTCATTGCACTTTTAGGCAACACATTTTCAGTGGGTTCTCCATTCCACGGAGTGGAAATCTGCCTCCCTGTAAAATCTATTTTGTTCTTAGGTCTGCTCCCTAGATCGATTAGACATCTCAGACAGTCTTTAAGATACTTGAAGACAGCAATTGTGCTGCCCTCCCCAATCCCTCCCCCCTCCACTAAGTCTTCCCTACTCATCTCCAGTTCCTCCAACCTATCTTTCAATGGCATGATCTCTAGTCCCCGTAGCACATTAGTCACCCTTCTCTGAATGCTTCAGGAGATACACTCTCTGACCCAGACCCAACAACCCTCAGAATTGTGCCCTGTGACAGACTCCAGGATCAGACCTATTAGATCCCAGAATGAGCTGGAGCCCAGTCCTATGATAATAATATACTATATAATCATAGTGTATAATAATAGCATGTTGCCTGTCAGGGTGGGACTGGTAGGGTCAGGGCTGGGGGAAGGTTAGAGATAGGAGGCAGCCAAGCATAGGTCCCATCAGAGTCAGACTCTCCTAAATAGAGTCTCCTGGCGGAGTGCAAGTCAGAGGCTGGGACAGACTCAGTGACTCATAGGATACGGAGCTGGAAAAGGTCTTAGTTGCTGTCTAGTCCAACCAAGAATCTGAGGCTCAGTGAAAAGGGATTTTTCTCACACAGATAGAAGACAGCAGGGTCAGGAGCAGATGTCTGATCCACTGACCATACTAACACCCACATCCCACATCACTGGCCCTTCTACCCCACTGAGCCTTGATTCCGCCCACAATAAGGGCGAGCATCAGATCACAGTTAGCTCCGGAGCCCCAAGGGCCACATTCTCCGCTGGATGTGAGAGCGGGGTCTCTCTCATCAGGCAAGAGGACTGGGAGAGTGAGCGACGCTCACCTGTACGTGATGTGTTTCTGTCTCCACTTCTGCCCCGTCAGTGCATAGCGCTTGCTCCTGCGCCGGTGGCTCAGGTGGGGGTGATCGGGGACACCGCAGCGAGGCTTCTTCATCCACCTGGGTGGAAAGAACACACATGTACACACCGGCCAGACAGCCTGAGGCAGGTACCAAAGGCAAGGCTGGAAGGGCCCGTGGAGATCATCCGGAGAGGCAGAGCCATGTAGCGACAGGACGAGCATAGGTCTGACAGATGGGAAACCTAGGTCTGAGTGGCACAGATGATAGAGCACTGGGACTTGGGAGTCAGGGAGACTTGGGTTCAGATCTCCACCTCAGACACTGCCTAGCTGGGCCAGTCTCCGTTTCTGCACCTGTAAACATGAGAGCTTTGGACTACGTGGTTTCTAAGGTCTCTTCCAGCTCTAAATCGATGATCTTACGATCCTGTAAGTCCCAGCTCTGACACTTACAACTTACGGGCATCTATTCGTCCATGTATATCTCTGGGAGGGTAGGGACTTGGGCAGCTCGATGGTCTAATGGAACCGCACCTTGGATGCGGTTTGGGACCTCAGGCAAAACGGTTCATCTCTTTCAGCTCTGGTTTCCTCATTCATAAAATAGTGATGATAATAGCACCCTCCATAAAGTGCTCTTTGGCAAACCTTCAGGTGCTATGTAAATACTAGTTATTATTATTATTGCTATTGTTAGTATATATCTTTGTATCCCTGGTGCCTAGTACAGTGGCTGGCATACAGTAGGCACCTAATTACAGTAGACTTGTTGACTTATGGGTCGCTATGCTCTTGAATGAGACACTGAAGTTTCCCAGAATCCAAATCTGTAAAATGGGAATAATAATACTTGCTCAGCCTCTGCTACAGGGCTTTTAGGGGGCTGAAATGGGTGTTGTGACTATAATTGTGGGATGTTATTTCCCTTGATCTTTTGGGGGGGGGCTAGGCAATGGGGTTAAGTGACTTGCCCAGGGTCACACAGCTAGTAAGGGTTATGTGTCTGAGGCCAGATTTGAACTCGGGTGTTCCTGAATCCAGGGCTGTGCTCTATCCACCCCTTATTGCCTTTAATCTTATAGAGGAAGAAACTGAGGTAGGAGCAATTTGCTCAAGTGCACACTGTACGTTAACAGCAAGGCCTGCACCAGATTCTGCTTTCCTGTCTTTCAGAAAAACGTGCAGCTCATCTGGTGCCCATAGCTCAGTGTGGCTTTCCAGGTCCTGTTCTGAAGGGAGGAGGGGTTCTGCTCCCATGCCTTTCTCTACCATACAAGCAGCACTGTGTGCAGGACCACAGTGTATGGGCAGTCTGGCATTGGTGTTGAATTGTTCCTGATACAGCTGATCTGGTACATGTGGTAAGGACCAGCCTTAAGGATGCTCACCTCCTCATGGATAGTCTGTGCCTTAGGTGGTGGTGGGGGTTGTCATGGAATCTGGGGGTTGGCCTTCAGGAACTCAAGTTCTGTCAGCTCATCCAGGGAGATCAGGTTCTGGAGAACAGACTTCCACTAACCAACCCCACAAGACTAATTAATAAACTAAATAACAGAGCATTAACTTATGCTGAGAAGTATTCCTGGCTGGCTCAAGTACCAGCCCCACCTAAATGCTCAGGGTTCTTCCTCTGTTGGGTTGGTCCACTCAGGAGACCCAATTACAAGAGTCAAAAGGTTACGTGGCAAGCAGAGAATCAGAACAGAGGGAGCTGACTATTCTTAAGGGAAATTTCCATCCAGTTGTGTTGTTCTCCACTCCAGGGATATTGATTGTCTAAGAAACTGATATGGGGAAATTACAAATAAGTGGCACGGTGGATTAAGCACCGAGCCTGGAACCAGGAAGACCCAAGTTCAAATGCAGCCTCAGAGACTGGCTGGGTGACCTCTGGGCAAGTCACTTTACCTCTGTCTGTCTCAGTTTCCTCAACTGTAAAATAATAATAATAATAATAATAATAATAATAATAATAATACTAGCATCTCTTTCCCAGGGTTTTGTAAGGATCAAATGAATCACATTTTTAAAGGCCTTAGCATGGTACTTGGCACATGGCAGGCACTCAGTAAATGCTTATTTCCTTCCTTCCTTCCACGCATGAAAGAAGGCTAATAAAAAGGCAGGGAGATGGGTGATGGAGTGTTGTGCATGAGGAACGGCAAGAAGGCCAGTTTGGCTAGACCACAGAGTTCTGGAAAGAGAGGTTAGAGCCAGGTTGTGAAGGACTCCCAGAATCACCCCATCAAGGTAAGACTCCTATGAAAGGATTTTGAGAAAGCTGTGATCACTTCCAGTTATGGTCCTATAAGACCATAAGGCCATGCTGGTTTGTCCCTAGTTCTATCCATTGTGGGTGGGAGTGGAGTAGAGGTGAGCTCTAATTTGAGAAGATATCTAGCAATTCTTTTAAAATAATAATAATAATGTTTAGTAATGCCTTTTGTTCATACATACTAGACATTCCCAAATATGCTCTCTAATTCTCAATAACCCCAACCTTTGTAACAAAAACAGTTAAGCAAAACCAACTGATTTTATATATATATTTGATATGCTGTTATTGTGCATACAACATTCAGCACCTTCAGTACCCCACCTCTCTACAGAAAGGAGGGCCACAATGGTCATTAGGAATTTCCAAAGGAATTTCCTTTCAGTGTTATTTTGTTTACATTATTATAGGAAGGTCTGAACGCAGATGTTCTTTACTCCAGGCCCAGAGCTCTATCACTTAGCTACCTTGAATGCTCCTTACCTCTGCCTCTTAGACTCCCTTACTTCCTTCAAAACTCAGCTCAAGCACCACTTTCTTCTCACACAAATACTCTCCTCATTCCAGCCCCTCTATGCCAGCTTCTGGTGGTTTTCCTTCCCTTTTTCCCTCTCCCCAAATTACCTTGTATTTACCTTGCAACTATTTTATATACACTTACGTACATATAGGCTATCTACCCAGGTAAAATAAGGTAAGACGGGAACTATTTTGGTTTATCTTGGTATCCCCAGCACCGAGTATAGTGCCTGGCACACAGTAGGTGCTTAACAAATACTTGTTGCTTGACCAACACCCTCACGAGATCAGCAGAACTTTTACAAGCCATCTCTTCAAGATGGTGATTTCTGCATACGGTTAGTCTTATCCATTGATTTCTCTATGGGTCTGTTTCAGAGGATGACACTTTTGAGCCTGATACCTAAATCTTGAGGCAGCTAGGTGGTGTAGTGGATAGAATGCCAGGCCTGGAGGCAGGAAGACCTGAGTTCAAATCTGGCCTCAGATACTTGCTAGCTGTGTGACCCTGGGCAAGTCACTTAACCCTGTTTGCCTCAGTTTCCTCATCTGTAAAATGAGCTGGAGAAAGAAATGACAAACCACTCTAGTATCTTTGCCAAGAAAACTCCCAAAAGGGATTACAAAGAGTTGGACACAACTGAAAAATGACTGAACAACAACAATCACTGCCTAAACACTGGAGGCGACCTCTATTTGGAAATTATAGTCTGTCCCCATCCTCATACACTGACTAGTTCTGTGGTCTCCCTGGTTGGGTTTGGTAAACTCTGGGAGAGCACAGCAGACCTTCTGCATGTGCGTGTGACCTCATAATGAGTAAGTCAGTCCATAAATGCTTCTTAAGCTCCTATCATGTGCCAGGCCCTGTGCTAAGCATTCAGGATACAAAGAAAGGAATATAGCTCTCAAGGAGTTCAAAGGCTAACGTGGGAGGCAACAGGCAAACAAGTATGTACAAACAAACTACAGGCAAGATATATTTGAAAAAATTAACAGAGGAAAGGCATTAGAACCACAGGAAAGCAGGAAAGTCTTCCTGTAGAAGATGGGCTTGGCACATAGTAGGTGCTTAGTGTGCGCTGGTGGTGAAATTGACTGGCTCCGATATCTGAGAGCCTAAGGCTGCAAGTCGGGAGATCTGGATTCTAATTCCAATTCATCACAAATGCTCTATGACCTCAGGCAAGTCACTGTTGTTCAGTCATGTCCAAACTTCATGGCTCCATTTGGGGTTTTCTTGGCAGAGATATTGGAGTAGTTTGCCACTGCCTTCTTCAGCTCATTTTACAGGTGAGGAAACTGAGACAAACAAGGTGAAGCGACTTGCCCAGGGTCACACAGTTAGTAAGTGTTTGAGGCCACATTTGAACTCAGGAAGATGAGTCTTCCTGACTCCAGGCCCAGCACTCTATCCACTGTGTCACCTAGTGCCTTCTGTAGGCCTCAGTTTCTCCACCTCTGTAAGTCAGAGATGATACCTGTACTGAAAACCTTCATGGCATAATGATTAGAGACCCAACCTTGGAATCAGGAAGCTCTGGGTTCAGGTTCTGTTATTGACATATACTAGCAATGTGGTCACGGGCCAGTCACTTAACTTTTCAGTGACCTGGGCAACTGTGTAAGACTGTAAGTTTACAGACTCAGTCCAGATAGTACCAGGGAGAAGGAGAAAGGGATCGGCATTTATATGGTACCTACTATGTGCCTGGCACTGTGCTAAGCACTTTTTACAAATATCACGTCATTTGATTTTCCCAATAACTCTGGCAGATAGGTGCTATTATTATTCCCGCTTTATAGTCAAGGAAACTGAAGCAACAGAGGTGAAGGGACTTGCCTGGGCTCACACAGCTATAAGTGTCTGAGGCCAGATTTGAACTCAGGTCTTCTTGATTTCAGGCCCAGCACTCTATCTGCTAGGCCACCCGCTGCCTTTGCGGCTGAAGTTTTCCACACCAGAAATTCCTTACATTGATGAAACCCCAGGGCTAGACCAAAAAAATAAAAACAAAAATATTTACTCTATCTCATACGGTTGCCATGGGGGGAAATGCCTTTTAAATACAGGCCTTAGATTCTTAGTCAAGCTCCCATATCAATCCCTGAGCTTCCTCTTCTAACCTACTATATTGATCCAGGGGTAACTTTGAAATGCATCTCTGTGCCTCAGTTCCCTCATCTGCAAAATGAGGAGAATGCTCAGCCTTTACTTTCCCCCGCACCCCAAAAGCACCAGAAAGAAAACTGATGATTGACAGACAGGCAAGTGGGAGAGGCTTTCTTCTCTATCCAGATCATCCCTTCTGCCTCCTCCCACCATCTGACTGCCCTTAGTTGAACCCCAGCCAATGCGCCTGTGTCTTTCTGGAACAGAGAAGAAACTAAGGCCAGGTGGCCCCTCAGCAGTGGCCGTCTCCCTGCCACGTAAGGCTCTGCTGTGCTGCACCGTACCAGGGCTCAAAATAGCCCCAACTTCTTTAAGGCAGCCCCAGCTGATCCAGGCTTATGCTCCATCATAGAATGTCAGAGTTGGAAGGGGCCTTTGAGATCATCTACTCCATCGCCTTTACTTTATAGATGGAGAAACAGGGTCCCAGAGAGAGGAAATGACCCACTCTTACCAGCAGCACTGAGAAGTAGAACCTAGTACTCCTGACTCTGGATTCTCTTAAGACCTGGATTAGTGTCCTGGCTCTGCCACTTACTACTAGTGTGACACTGGGCACATCACTGCAACCCCCTTCGAGTCCCAGTTTCCTTGTCTGTAAAATGAAGATAATAACACTCTGAGCTGTGAACCTCCCAGGGCTATTCGGAGGATCAAGTAAGGTCATGGATGCAAGGCACTAAATAAATGACAACAACTATCATATTAATACTAGAACAAATTAAATTATTTGCTACCTATGTGACATTGCACCAGCAACTTCCCTTCCTGAGCCCCATTTTTCTCATCTTAAATAACAAAGAGAAAATTGGATCCCTGCCCTCATGGAGCTTATAGTCTGTTGGAGGAAGAAGACACCAAACAAATAGCATTATACACAAGAACGTATGATAAATTCATTAGGCAGCTGCAGAACAAAGTCTATCGAATGATCTCCCAAGTTCCCTCCTGGCTCTAAATCTAATGAGTATGTAAAAGTATTGATTTTATTATACATTATGATAAACGAATGCTAAATGTATTCATAATTGCAGTAGCTTCAAACTCTGTTGATTCCCTGCTAGCCAGCATGGCTCTTCTCCCAAAGAGCTCCTGACTTTTGCTCTGGTAGGTAGAGCTGATAACAGGAGGAATACTCTTACTTGTTAAGGATTCATGTGGATCAGCCATTCATATGAATATTCATTCATTCATTCATTCAGTAAATATTTGATGAGGGTTTAGCACAGGACTTGGCACACAGTAAGCACTTAATAAATGTTTGCTGATTGACTGATCCTTTGCTGCATACAGAGACCTAGGCCACTTGGGGAGATGGTTGAGTGGGGGACAAAAGAACCCATTTTATGGGTCTGAGGGAGTAAGAACTCAAAGGAGGGAGAGCTCAGTGTGTTCTAGGGCGGTCACAGAAGATTTCACAGAGCAGACAGAAACTGAGCTAAGTCAATGAACTTGGAAGATTGGACTGGAAGAGGGGAAAGAAGAGGGCATGGGTCGGAGGGCAGGAAAGAAGGCCCTGAGGAAGGGAGGAAGGAGCAGGAATGGAATGTGAGAATAGCAGGAAGGGAAAACATGGAAGGCTTCTTGCCTTTGTCATGTCCAGAGAGAAGTTTGAAAAGCTAAGGGACACAAAGTCCCATGGGAATCTTACTCGATTGTTGTCTGATCCAACACTCCTGTGACAGGAATCCCATAAAACTGCTGCATAGTGGTGACCGCTGACTGCAAGACCTTCCCTGAGGGCATCGTGGGTACCCGGGCATCATAGGGAAGCAGATAGCCGTAAGACTTTAACCAGCTCTGTAAAAAAGGAGAGACAGATGGAGATGAAGGAGATAGATCAAGAAAGTGGAAAAGACAGGGAGAGGGAAGAAGAGAGACAGACAGAAAGGTCCTAGGGAGGAGGCGGCAGTAATAAGAGACACATACACACATATGTAATATGCACAGATATACATATAGATAGATAGATAGATAGATAGATAGATAGATAGATAGATATAGATATATATGCATGTATATACATAATATGTGTGTGTGTGTGTGTGTGTGACAGAGACAGAGGCACAGAGTGAGACAGAGACAAAGAGAGCACATGACAAATTAAGATCTCTAAGTTCTGACCTCCTTGAAAACTATGGGCTCTTTTAACTGAGGCTGAATGACCTCCACATTTGAAAGGTTATTGTAAAGATTTCTTCCAGCTCTGAGACTTTATGATTCTAAGTGTGACTGAAAAAGAATGTAATGCATTTGTCTTTAGGTTCCAGGTAGGAAAACTATTATTGACTAGAACTTCAGACAGACCACCCAGCACAATGACTGGGATCTAGATTGGTTAGGAGGAATCATCATCTACTGGGTGGGGGTGTGCAAGGAAAAGGGTGCTCAGAAAAAAGGCCCTAAAATTAACGGCACAAATTCCATGAACCAAAGTTTATATGCTTTACTCCCGAGGAATCCCTTAATCCTTCACTCGTGGACCAATGATTCTGCTTTTATGCACAATTCTAACAAGCTAGGTTTGTTACATATTTGATTTCCTAAACCCATAGGAAATTAGAAATGGGGAGGGAATGGTTAGAGGCAAGACAGCCATAGCAGCTAGTACAAGAGGGACAGGATACAAAAACCATTAGGAAAAAAAAAGATCCAAGAACTCCCAAAGCAGCAATCTTAAGTTAATCACTGCAGGGGTAAACAGCTACCCAAGTCGGCTTCACTAGACCCTGTCCTAGCATCGTCGACCTTCATCATGGTGCTTTCAGTAAGAAGGGAATACATGTATGATCCACAATAGAAAGCTTTCTAACCCCCAAGTGGCTAAAATAAAAGTTCTGGTACTTAAAGGGGTAAACCCTCAGCTACTTGGAAAGGGCTCTCCAGATGACTCATTCCTGAAAAGCTCCAGAGAGCCCTGACTTCAATACATCCTGTTCTTTAAGAGTTATTTCACTAATTTATACATTTGTGCAGTCTGACAGGGTTGTTGTAGGAATCAAATGATGTAATATATGCAAAGCTCTTTGCAGATCTTAAAGTACTAAATGACTGTGAGTTGTTTTTCTAATTGGCTGAGTGAAGAGCTATTTGATCAGCATTAGTGACCAAGTGGAGATAATTTAGTTTATTCCGAATTATGTCAGGTATGTCAGATTTAGGGACCTGTGGCTCCTCCTTTAAATTTTTTTCTGATTTTGGCCCCCAGCGACTCCCCCAACTTTCGCAATGACTTTAGTACCTGAACTTATTGTCCTCTTTTCCATCCCAACCCCTGCCATCACAGTGAGGGGCTAGAATATTCATGCTAATGGTCCCTCGCTAATGCTCTGACTCCACAATCGCTCAGCCTCCTTAACCCAATAATATCATTCTCCAGCCTGCTTCAACTATGTCCTAATGCCAATGTATTAATTTACACCATTAGCCTCTCACCACCTCCCAGAACTGTGACATCCCCAAGATACAGACCTTTGAAATTCCATTCTTCTACCACAGTCTCCTACCTCTTGCACTCTCTCCTTCACACGAAGCCTAGGGCATGGGGAAGAGCCAGGGCAAAGACGTAGAAGAGAGGTGGAACATTATATAAGGCAAGAGTAAGATGGCCAGTTTGGCTGGGTTGTAGAGTGCATGGAGAAGAGCAATGTATAACTGATTAATAATACTCCTTAGCACATTCCTTCTTTCACCTGTCCTCTCCTTTTGCTCCTGACCACATCCTAAATCCAAATGCTTAGAGCATCTAGCCTTCTATTGCACTCGGAATACAGGGGCCCTCCAACATGAGCTCCCTTGGCTTTTCTTTCTCCATTCTTTGACTTATTAGCATCATCACCATTCCCTCCTCCTCCTTTCTGATCCTGGAAGTGAGGTTTCTGCTCCACTGTAAGACTAATTCCCCTCTGAGATGTTTCTCCAGTGGTCCTGCTTCCCCTCTTATGTGTATAGTCAATCTTGCTTCAAATATGACCCCTTTTGATATTCTCCTACAGACAGACTTGGGTCTCTCAAATCCTAACATAGCTATCACTCCTCTTCCTCTCTGTTCTTTTTACTGCTAAACATTTTGAAAATTGCTTACACAGGGTACCTACACTTTCACATCACTGACATTCTCTCCTCGACCCCTTGCTATGTGTTTTTGTCTACCCACAATTTCATTAAGACAGTTCTCTCTGCAGTCAACAATTAGCTTCTAAGGGGCAAATCCAGTGGGGTTTTTTTTTCAGCCCTCATTTTCCTCAGTCACTTTGAGGCTTTTGGCACTATTGAACATTTATACCTGTTGTATATGCTTGCTCCTCCTCTTTTCCCTTCCTATCTCTCTAAGCACTCCTTCTCTATCTCCTTCCCTGCCTCCCCATCCTCTCCCTAACCTGTTGAAATGAATGTTCCTCAGAGATCTGCTCTTGTCTCTCCTCTGTTGTCTCCATTATACTCTTCCTTGTTCACTTCATTCTCTCTCGTGGCTTCACTTCTACGAGGATAACTTGTAAATTTCTATCTCTAGCCCTTACTTCTCTTCTGAGCTTCAGACCTGTATCTCCAGGTGCCCATACAACAGCTATCTCCACCTGGATATCTCACATGGCCAAACTCAGTATGTCCGTGAAAGCTCATTACCATTCTCCCCTCTGTCTTTGGCACCGCAGTTCATCCAGTCTCCCATGTTCACAATCTTTTCTTGCTCTTTGATTCTTCCCCCTCTCTCACTTCTCACATCCAATTAATTGCCAAGTTCTGTAGATTCCATCTCCATAGTTTCTCTCACACATCTGTCCCCTCTTCTTTGTTCTTAATGCCATCACCCTAGTATAGGTCTATATTACCACCTGCCAGGACTAAATTAATTAGTTAGCTATTCTTTTTTTTTTCTTTTTTGCAAGGCAATGGGGTGAAATGACTTGCCCAGAGTCACACAGCTAGTAAGTATCAAGTGTCTGAGGCCAGATTTGAACTCAGGTCTTCCTGAATCCAGGGCCAGTGCTCTTTCCACTGCAGGATCTAGCTGCTCCTGTTAACTGTCCTTGCTTCCACTTCCTCTTCCCTCCTCCAATCCATCCTTAATACCAGAATACTACTAAAATAATCTCACTCCTAGATCTAGATCATGGCCACTCCTGTGCTCAAAAATCTTCAGTGTCTCTCTATTACCTACCAATTAACACTCAAAGTCCTCTGACTGGCATTCAAGGCCCTCCAACAAACATACCACGTACTCTCCTGTACATTTGCTCAGGCTGAGTCTATTGCCAGTAAGGTCCTCTTACTCTTTACCTCCTAAATCCATACTTGTCTTTTAAAAGCCTAACTCAAATGCTGTCTGTCCCACAAAGCCTTCCTATCACCAATCCTGTTCTTCCCTCCCCATCTCCTTACCTCCCAAGTGTTGGCAATGATCTTTCTTTTGGACTACACACAGTACTTTGTTCTGATGTACTTGTCATGTGTTATTGTACTTATTTATTTTAGTGTCTTATCCCCCTGCAAGATCTTAAATTCCATAAGGGAAGGGACACTATGTCATTGAAACCTTATAACTACCTTAACACCTAGCATACTACTCTGTATATAATAGGCACTTAATAGTTGGTTAGTGTAATTTCTTCCTAATCATATTTGGTGGAATACAAGTTATGACAATCCCTACCAAGGCTCCTAGTACCAACCCATGACAGACTATGTCTGTCTTCTGATTACCAGACATTGGGTAAATGTCTGTTTACCAGAGGGCTGGCCACCCAAAGATGAACTTCTTTGGCCAAAGAAACTTATGAAGACCATTTACTGAGGTGTGAAGGGGTTGGTATTTGGAACCACACTAATGAAACCACAGATCTTATTAGAAGAGCCTAGGGTCATAGCTCTAGAGCTAAGAGGGATCTCAGAATGATCTTATCTGCTCCAACCCCCTCATTTTACAGATGAGGACAATGGAGTTCAGAGAGGGTAAGTGCCTCACCCAAGGTCCCAGAGGTAAAGTGGTAGAGCCAGGATCATTTGGAGGATTTAAATACCATTTTTGGGTACTAGATAAAATTAAATTGATAAGGTATCAAAACAATTTGCAGGCTGATCCATTTGCCCCTATCCATTTTTTTGTTGTCATTGTTTAGAATTTATTAATCTGCTCAGGTCTGACAATGGCTACTATTACTTGGTGATCTATATGGTAGGTGTAGCAGTTCTGTGACTTGCTATCGCCTTCGGCTCCTAACCCATAAAAGCACTGGATTTGGATTAAGTAGACCTGAGTGCAAGTCCCTACTATTTATGTGACCAAGAGCAAGTCACTTAACTCCTCTGAAGGTCAGTCTCCATATCAGTAAAATGGGAATGACACTTGCTACCTATCTCACAGCATTATTGTAAGGAAAGTACTTTGTAAGCCTTCAAGGGCTATAAAGAAGTGAACTATCAGCTTCATCTTCATCATCATTATCACCTTCCAAACAACAGCATCAGTAATTATTAAACACTAGCATTGCTTGTCCCTTATGATAAACATGCATGGGCCTCTCTGCCGAAGAGGTGCTTAAATTCTAATAAAATTAGATCCTAATAGAAAGTGTTAGTGCAGGCCCTGTGGACTTAAAAAATTTATACTGCATATATGCCCCCAGGTACATTCACTCACACACATACAATTTACTACTGGGGAGGCACTTGGGAACTGTATAGAGCAGAAACCTATTATGTTTTGTAATTAAGATTGTTTCTAACAAAACTCAGCAAAGGAAAACAATCCCACTTCACAGCCAGGATCATTAGGCAGATTTAGATTTAGCTAGAAGGGG